TGTGTTTTGGGATTGTTTTCTGGTACAGTACTACATAGTAGCACACAGTGCTTTTTTTTTTCTCGTGGTGGCCATTGACATTGTCGACTGGTCATCGGGCATTCTGACTGTTCTGTTACTCCAAACTATTCCCAGGTCATGATCGGAAACCTCGTCAAATTGCACTGGTCCTACATATTGCCTCAAGTCCCTCTTCTGCTTTAGTTATTTAATTAGTCAGCTCTTTTTTTGATAACAATCGACGAGGAGACAATAGTCGTAAAATGGCAATAAATAAGATAAATTGTGCACTCATAACAACAGTGAAATGAAGAAAGTCAAGTTCCATAATGTTTTCTTGTGACTGTCATCAGTGGAATGCCGTCATATAAAAATGTAAAAACTAAAACACACTTATATACATGTAGCTAATATGGTTTCAGGTAGAAATACAGCAGCTAACAAGTACAAAAAGCGAAGTTTGCACCTTTGCGATGTGTGAATATAGTGTATGTGAGAAGGGTAGTGGCAGATGAATGTGATACTGTAGGAATGAATTTAATGGTGCGTGTGTATTACTTAAAGAGTGTGAGTGATACAACGTTTTCTGTCTGTTTACATAGCACAGGGTCCCGAGTACGAATATACACAGCTTCCAACACCAGCAATTGCTTGAAGAAACGTGGGCAACGAATAATACTAAACCAGGAATCGTCAAACACCTTACGACATTCTGGACTGGACACCAAATGTTTGTACACTTCCTCTTGCCAACATCAAACTCCTCCTCATCACTACTCTCATCCTCCACCTCCACTCCAATGCCCCCGTCCATTCCACCGTCCTCGTATCCGCCGTCATCAGTCTCCATCTCCTCGTGACACTGCTTCCCTCTCCTTGATTCGTTCTGTGCCGTGCTTGTGCTTCCTCCTGTGTCTCCTTGCTTTGTGTTCTCCACTTGTCTCAGCCGTGCCTCTGCTACTCTCTTGCTTCTCCTCGGTTCTGCTCTGTTTTCAAGTTGTTCCCCTTCCGTTCTTAACGCCGTAGCAACATGGTTTGTCATAAACATTCTTTTTGAATGATTGCATTCTCTTGCTGTGTGGAGGCTGGGACAGGAGGGCGGCTTCAGTGTCAGCGGGGCAGATGTAGGCAGCTGGTGTTGGACCTGGTGGTCATAGCCACTGACAATACCATGCTCGCTGTGATTTCTGGGGCTGGTAGAGGAGATATTGCGCTGTGGCAACATAGAGAGCAGCTGCGGAGGACCAGGCAAGCAGTGCAGCTGGTTCGGGCAGGCAAGCGAGGCAACAGTACGGCGGAAGGCCAGGATGGTTAGGTGTCCACCAGGGTCGAAAGACTCCAGTGCGCGGCGCTGAACATTGTTCAGACACTTGAGGTGACTCTGCACAGCTCCGATCCACAAAAGAGGCGCATACGTGGGCGGCTCTGTTCAGGACCACAGACTGTTGGCGTGCACGGGTGACTATGGAGCGTAGGTGATCGCTAAAGGTCAACTTGGCACCCATCTTCACACCAAGGAGGGTGATGTTGGTTGTCTCAGGTACTAGTGTGCCATCAAACAGGAGAGCGGGGAGATCTACGCCGGCGCGTCTGAGGGTGGCTGTCATGGCCTGGGATTTGGTGGGTTCAAAAAATCACTTTCGATGTATGGCCCCACTCGTGCAGTCGGTCAATGGACACCTGCAATGACTGCGCAGCGACTTCTCGGGTCTGCTGGGAGGTGACTAAGCTGTGCAAAGTCGTGTCGTCTGCACAAGCTTCCAAGCTAGTGCTGTCAGCGAGAAAACCTGGCGTGTTGTTGACGTACGCCAGGAAAACCGTTGGTCCAAGAATACTTCCCTGGGGGACTCTAGTGGATGTCGTGTACGTAGTTGACGTCCGCCCTCCAACGAGGCACTGAAGGGAACGGGTGTCCAAGTACGAGGCCGGCCATCTCTGAGGCAAGCCATCGGTGCCTAGGCTACGGACCTTGCGGTGGAGGCCGACATGTGAGCCACGATCAAACGCTCCTGTGATATCCACAGCAAGGAAACAAGTCGCCCCTCCACAGCGCACAGCGCTTTCCCAGGCAGTTTGGAGAGCTTGCAAAGCGTCCGATGTTCCGAGGCCTCCGCGAAATAAAACTGGTGTGGCGTGAGAAGATGGTGGTCCTCAAAATAGTTTACGATGCGTCTGTTTACAAGAGTTTCCATGACTTTCGAGATTATGCACAGTAATGATACAGGCCTGTAGTTCTTAAGGTTTGAGCGGGAAGATCGCTTGTGGGTTAAAACCATGTTGGCCGTCTTCCACACCTTAGGTCGGACTCCAGACCGGACGCACTGATCTCTGTCTCCATTCCCCTGTACACTATACCTGTACAATGTCCTTTATCACTTTTAACCCTTTGCTCGCCCACCCAGCTTCGCGAAATCCCTTCTGGCACTCTCTTCAAATCCCAGATATCCCTGCTGTTCCAGAACTCTGTATGTTCCTGTGTCTGCTCCAGGATTGTAGGACAGCCGGGTGCACGTGTACCTGGCGCAACCATTTCAACCGGGTGGGAGCCCGGTACACATGTACGCCCAATGATCTAAAGGCGAATGGATAAGCCGCATTTAGAAAAGAGAGGGCAGGAATTAGAAAATTATGAAAGAAGAAGAAGTATCTGACACATACAACGATACAAACCATGTAGTCAGTCCTTTCAAAGTTCGAAAGTGTAAAGTACCAACCGGGTCACAGGTGACCCGGTACTATATTTTCAACCGGGTCCAAGCGCCGCCCAACCGGATGGATTACCCGGCTCACCCGGCGCTGGAGCAGACACTGTGTACGTGTAGTGACCACCCTGCCCGTACACATTGTCACTGATCCCTGCCCACCCAATTCTTCATCACTCTTTCTCCTCTCTCACACCATTATCTCTTATTGGTCACTAGGGGACTGTGAGAATAAAGTTTTGACAACAACCACGTTATGAATTTGCAGTTGAAAGCCCTATTTGAATAAGGGGTCGTCGCAAAAGTTTTCTGTCGTCCCTGAAACATCGTTCGTTTCGTACTTGGACCCCCTCCCCTTCCTCTGAAACGAACACAGCTTGCTAGGCTGGACGACGAAAATCACATGCATATACATGTCGTATGTACAGTGTCGGTCGACTTGCGATTTTGGCTCGCACACCCTCCCCCCCCCCCCCCCAAATGAATCATGTTCGTTTCAGGGACGACAAAAAACTTTTGCGACGACCCCTAAGGTGACCAGCTGTCTTTGATGATGCGGTACAGTACATGTACCGCATCTTTTGCATTGCTATGGGAATAAGGCCGCGTTTACACGAAGACGAAATGAAATGAAACGAAACGGAACGAAAACGGGCTGGCCTCGAATCGTTTTCAAACCGTTTACACGGGATCGGCAAATCGTTTTGAACCGTTTACATGAAAATGGACAACGGGCGATCAGGCTGGAGTTAGCACGTGCTGACTTGGCGCAAGGGTCGGAAGTAACACGTTAGTTGGAGTTGGTACGTGCTGATGGTCGCAAGGATTGGGTATTTCCCGCGAAATATACTCCAGCACGGGATGGTTTCCATGACCGCTCTCCGTGTCCAATCGTCTTCACTGTTTTCACCGTTTACACGAGAACGAAAACGTTTTGAAAACGTTTCAAAACACTTTGACGTGCGTTTCCATTTCGTTCCGTTTCGGTATGGTTGTCGGTATGGTTGTCGGTATGGTTGTCGGTATGGTTGTCGTGTAAACGATAAAAGTAAACCCGAACGAGTTCGTTCCGTTTAGGTTGTATTTCGTTGTCGCGTAAACGCAAATCGTTTTCAATCGGTGTCAGCTATCGTGATCACATAGTTACTACATTCTCTAATCCGGCAATTGTTTATCCAGCACCCTTGCAAACCTGCACACTTTCTGGCAAAACGGATTTTTTTCACTTCATTCTCTACGCTTTAATCCGGCACTTGAATTCCGCCTCCAGCAGCGATTTTCTGCAACAAATCACTCAAGTTTGAAGAAGGGCTGAGGCTTCCTGCAGCTTCATCTGTGACCCTTTTGCATACTAGGTGACATAATTCGCATGTTTTTGGCGCTACACTCTGCGTATATACTGCTCTTGTGTGGCTTCCACGGTATTCATTGTTATTACCTGACGATGGCCAAGTGCCGAAACGTAAAAATAACGGAACTGGTTCGGATGTGATGTGCAGCGCTATGGGAATGGGTGTGTCAACCCGAATTCTTTTCACAAATCACTCAAACTGCACATAATTCGATTTTCTAATCCAGCAGTTGTACACCGCATACCGTCAGCTAGCATTGTAACATACACAACACATGTAATATACACTTGGGATATTCCCAAATGTATGTTACAGAGACATGCATTCCACAAAGTACTTGGGGCGCGTTTGGTTGGTACGAACTAGAACAGGATTCACCAGAACAGCGCGTTTGGTTGGGACTGCACCTGTTCTGGGTCGGCCAGTACATGTTCTGCTTGCTCCGGCCTCGAGGCCGGAGCAGACCGAGCAGTTTCACTTTTTCACAGTGAAACCTGGCGGGAACATCGATTTTGGTCCCAAATGATCACGTGCATACGCTTTTGGGTTGGACTCGTCGTACCGTACAAAGTGACCATGGTGACCCATACACATTAATTTTTGAAGAATGCACCAAGTTTGGCACATTTTTCCACAAAAATGTGCTCTGTTTCTGGAGTAGCGTTTGGTTGGCATGAGGCTGCTCCATGTGCACCAGCTGTTCGATCCTGTTCTAGATCGTACCAACCAAACGCACCCTTGGATTGACACAGAAATCACTACGTTTTGACGTACGACACACACATGTATGTTAACAGGTGGGCCGGGTTGGAGGGCAGGATTTGATAATCCAGCACCCTTGTTTATCCAGCAGAAAATGCCGTTGCAAAAGGTGCCGGACTAGAGAGGGGCGACTGTACTCTGGATTGTCATTAAAGAGTGAGATTCGTGTTGAAAATTGACTTACATTAACTGAGCGTTCGTGTTATTCTCAAATGCTGAGGCACTGACATTCGTCACACCGTTTTGGATCACCGAGCTAGATGCAACAAAGCAAACAATGAAGCGATATTTTATACAAAAACAAAGGACCAAGGAACTACAAGTTATTCTATTCTGTCCACTAACACCATCAGTTACTAAAAAAATCAGCTCGTGCGATAATAGTGCACGACACTGACCGACGGTATTGACGTTTCACAACTAACTGGCTAACAGCTCTAGCACATCTTGGATGCGCACTCCAACAGCCTTCCAACTTGGAAAATTCTAAGTTATAGAAATGACATAAGGACGGGAAGGTGAGCGCAACCAAGATAAGCACGAGCTGAAAGTCTCCGCTGTGAAGACGTTGGCGGATGTTCATGCATTTCGATGACGATACTGGCAAGACCATTGGACAATACGGTCAAACCACGGTTCAAGATGGCTCAGTACTCTCTCAGGTTTGTGTCTAGTTGTTGCACTTTCTGACTGTATATAGAATATAGTTACAGTGGTGAAGAAATACTCTTAGCTCGTATCATTATGTCCTTTTCATGTCCTTTTCATTTCTACATTTCTTGTTGGTTCAACCCCCGACTTTAATATACATTATTCCGTTACCTTCGGTGACTTCTTTCACTTGTGATTGATACCCCTCCCCTTCCCATTACTTCCCATTACTATTATCAACACATGTCGCTAACATATATAAAAGGAGGCGCCATTGCCTGTTTGTGGTGCGCACCCCCCCCCCCCCCGCCATCATTATTATTATTATTACAAAAAAAGTATTGTCTACGCATGCATCTACGCAAGAGTCACCACCAGCCAATTAGGACATGTGTCAAAGTATTGAATGTTTTCGTTCCCTTCTTGCCAAATACTACAGGGAATGATGGAAATAAGCTAAAAGACTACAACTATAAGGAAAAGAAGTTCAGAAATATATCACTCCATTTATGTGTAGAAGTGACACGAAAAAATAGATGTGAAGAATCAACAAAACAGCATGTAAATCCAATAAGTGACAAAAACGTAGTGACAAGAAAAAGAGAGAAATATCAAGAGATCTATTTCGCACCTTCAAGACGAACAGTGCCAAACAACTGCAAAGACAACACATTCTCCTTCTGAACACAAAGCTCAGGGTCTAACTTACGTATGTACAAAGCTTCCAACACGGCAAGATGTAACAAAGACCTACCACGCGACAAAACAGAGAATACATCATCGGAATACCACTCACGACAACTAGCACTGCCCGACAGGTGACACTTGATTGCCGAGGTACCGTTTCCCTGACCCGACGACTTGGCCGTTGTCACCTCCAATATTGCCGCTTGCAAATCTCTCCCATTACGCCCTGCGTCCCTGCAATTCCGATTGCCTCGGTCGAGATCTGTGTGCTGCTCCACGTCCAGTCTGTCCTGCTTCCGTGGTCTACCTCGTTTCTTCACATTAACCGTTGTTGTCACTTCCAGTATTGGTTCTTTTGATTCGTCATCAATTCGTCTGCTCAATTGACTTCTGGTGACTCGTCCGGGGCTCGATTGTCCAGATGTCAGTTTCGGTGGTTTCCGTATCGGTCTCTTCTTCTTGTTGACTGTTGATTGGGTTGGCTCCAGCCCTCCGCCCGACGAAAAGGAGAAGGCGTCGGCAAGCGTATCCACAGCGGACTTGGACAAGTCCACCTCAGACACAGACTGCACTGGACACTTTGGTGGACGACCACGCCGAGGTCGAGAACCACGTGCAGCTACAGGGACAAGATTCAATGGTACATGTTGACGAATCCGTGCGCAGGACAGACTGTAACCACTGAGCTACTTCTAGAGTCCGGTATGGTCACGTGAATCCTTTCGCGCGAAATTTGCATATGCAGTGCTATTCAAACCTGGTGTGAGATAAGCACAGAGGTACGTCAGTATGATTTCTCGGATCCTGTTTCTTTGCACGACAACCCTCCCCCTTGGGGGGGGAGAGGGTTGAAATCAACCCTGGGCGGAGCTCCAACCCGGGTGAAGGGCAATGCGTCATGTAAACACGCCATTCATTGTGTACATGGCGGCTTGAAATCTCCGTCAGGCGAAATTGCTGGTCAGTCGGCGTTACGCATTTTTTCACAAAAATTTGCGTTTCACATTTTTCACTGCACAACGTCATCAAAATAATGCTTCGCGTTGATCGAGCGAAGGATTTTTTTCATCTTCTTTCTAAAATATTTTTGAAATTTAGTAGTGGAAGAGAGAGAAAAGAGATAGTACATGTAGTTGGAAAGTAATTTGTTGCTGCCAATGATGGAGAGGACGAGGAGAAGCGACCGGGGGGAGGGTTTTTATAGGCGACTTGCCAGCCCCAATGTCGACCTTCGCCAGTGTGCGAAGTCGTCACCACAACCAGCTGCGCCGGAGGAGTATGCCGTGGACTTTGTTGTCGGCTGCGGGGATGGCAATGTAAGTGTGAGTTTCTCTATCTCAGCAGAGATGTTGATTTCCTGTTTACTTTAGTTGCCACCCGGCTTCATTGCATGTTTGAATAGGGAAAGAAAGAATTCCTTTTGAAGTGGAAGGGCTTTGGCATGGAGGAAGCTTCGTGGGAACCTCGTCACCACCTCACCCCAGAACTTCTGGCCGAGTATCTGTCCCCCGATGCCCCGCCAGCGACAGCCATATCAGAATTTGCTTCTGTGCTGTGTGGGCGCATCAATGCGTGTCTATCGTCGCCCCATCCCCAAACCTTTGTTGTCCCTATGTCTGGTCCTATGTTTCGTCATTTGTTCCCTTGTACTGACCCTGAAACTCCCTCTTCCAAGTATTGTGTTGTCCATTTACCTAGCTTGTCTACTTCCCATTTCCCCCCATTCATTTTCATGCGTTTGAATACTCATGGGCAAGGGACGCAAGTTAGGTCTATGTCTGTTCGTCATCGTCAAAGGGAACAGAAGACTGGGTATTGCAGTGGACCAGACGTGATATAGTTCCCCAGAAAAGTTTATTCATAGAGGAACTGTCTGTGCACGTTGAGAAAAATAGTTCTGGTTTTGTAAAAAATATTTTCAACAAGGAATCATGCAGCATGATTTTTCGTTATAAAATCAGCTCCTCAAACTTCACCTTATCTGTAATACTTTGACAAGCACTCGCACACCAGAAGTCATAATTTCATTTTATTTTTACGATATATTTTATTGATGGGCACAATGCCAGTTACTGCCGCGGTACTCTGCGTGTCACTGAGTGCCTCTTGTCACGGACTATCGCATCACCATCGTGGTCGGCCGCTGATTCCACAAGTCCTACAGACAGGCAGGCAGCAATATAACATATACACCATTCATTCAGATTATTTCAAGTTACGCTGCGCAACCCAGGTATTAGCCAACAAGTACACACAGAATTTGAAGTAAATTATATCCAATGTCGCACTTCGTGTTACAATATCAAAGACGCACACTGACACATGAAAGTACACAAGCCCACAACCAGAACAGAGTGCAGGGAAGTTAGTTGCATGGTCCTAATATTATCGGGGTGACTGTCATGGAATGTAATCAACGCCCCAGCCGCAAGACAGAAACAGTTCTTACATTATATTTGATGAGCACAATGGCAGTTACTGTGGTGCGTTCCTCTGTGTGTAGTGCCTCTTAGCACGGACTACTGGATCACCATTGTGGTCGGTAGCTGATTCCAGGTCATGCAGGCGGCGTTTGGTTGCCAAGATATCGACTGCGGCATGATGGCGATTTCAGCTTCTGTAGAAACTTTTGCTGTCCGAATTGTTTTTCTCTGCGCCCTGTCCCGAGAACAGCTTCAGACTTCCATATTTTTTAGCCATTCCTGGGGCATGATACGCCATCGAGTGCATATACGGAGTGACTCTGGCTTTGAAGTATGACTGGTGTACCGGACCCAGAGCCGTAAATTTGTTAATAAACGCCTTTGCGCTTGTGGACGTGTCAGTTGCGGTAGAGCCATGTTTGCACAGTTGGTCATGGACGCTAATGAAATTTATCCACAAGTCCTACAGGAAGGCAAGCAGGAAAATAACATACACATCATTCATTCAGAGTATTTCAAGTTTCAGGTTTCGCATAAATGTTAGCACCACCACCGCATTTCGCAACCTAGGTATTCATGTTACAAAATCAAAGACGCACATTAATACATAATTGTTATGGAATTTAATTAACGTCCCACCCGCAACACAGAAATAGTCCTTGGCTACACCACAAAAACTGATTTTATCCAAATTACAATCCAGGTGGCCAAGGACTGCTTGCATGTTGTGGGTTTGAGCGTTAATTAGAAAGATATACAGTCCAGCTTCAAAGTTTCCGAAACGTCATGCCACTAAATGCCTCTTACTGGTATAGCATTTCAGTTAAATAACAGTAGGCTAGAATTTAAGACGATACTTTCGATCTCTAATGCATGCACATGGGAACCATACCTTCACTGCCACTGCTGTTTCTGCATCCATAAATGTGGGGAAGTGCTCCGGCAGCCGGTCGAGGAGTTTCTTTTTGATGCAGCCATCGATACTCGTCCAGTCCAGACTTGAAGTGTCTTGACCATTCTCGTTCTTTTTAAGCCATATCTTGAAAGGAGTGTATACGTGTTCTTTGATGGTTGCCATTATGCACTTAACCTTAGTGCCCAACTGTTTCTTTTCCCCTTGTTTTTGATCCTCCGCCTGCGCAGTGCAGATTATGCAGCCAAGTAGTCTATCCACGACACGTAGCAGCAAGTGCAGCTCATCCAATACGACATTTGTCAAGTCAATGGTGAGTGGTGGTGCTTGGTGGCTTCCTAGTCGTTTGTCTGTTGTCTTCTCCTTGTAAAGTGTTGTCATGTCAGTATGCGTCCTTGCCATTGGTCCGGTGTTGTAGAAACTGATGTCTTTTGTCATGTCATGTCGGTCTTTGTCAGCCACCTTGCACCACACACACGCATAGCGGGCGGATGCCTTGTTCATGCCCATTGTGAGCAAGAGAAACTTATAGTCCGCTGCAAAGACTATGTTCAGCCGAACAGTTTTGTCTCCAATTTTCAC